AAAGGGCTAATAAAGTGAAGTTATTACTTCACTTAAAGGCATCAACAAGTACCTCAAGCCAAAAATACTAATAGCAGCACCCAAATTCATTACACAAACCTTGTATACTGGACAACTTAAACTGCTTCTTGGACATTTTCACCGGGAAGGGAATGGAAGACTAAAAGACAAATACATAAAGTAAAACTAAAATTAAACATGCTTTGTAAAATATGAAAGTGTCTCCAGTATGACTCATGGGAGGTGCTGTGAAGAGGACCATTAGCAACAACCAAAGACCAGAGTAAAAAGATAAACCACTTTGTCAACATTACCTCCACACTAGACTAATGCTGTTTAGCAGGGTACTACCTAGTCAACAGGGTATGTAAAATAAAGGTAAAACAAACTTACTACAAAAGTGTGCCTACCCTTGTGAAATGAAATCAAACCAGACAAGCACCCCCCCCCCCCCCCCAGGTGTAAAAACTCCCCCCCCATCAGAGGTGGCACTGCAAGTCATAGCAGGGGGTGTCCAGTGTGCCTGTTACAACCCCAAGTGTCTCGGGGTGTAACTTTTAGGATTCTGGTTAAGGACTCAGGAAGCATGACAAGTTTTAGTCTAAAAAAAAATTAAATACAAAGACTGCTATGTAGAAAAACAGACAAGAGCAGTGCCAAAGATAACGAAAAGCTGGATAATAAAGTGACCATTCTACCAAAACAAAACTCAGGTCTTCAGCATCCAACACCCCAGCTACCCTTCACCATCTACCGAAACCCATACAACACAAGGCACTCACCCATACAACCAACTACATCTGCAAAACATACCCCACAAATGTAACTAACCCTTTACACAAATTCATAAGTAAACTACAAACAAAAAAGCAAAAAACAGCACAAAAGAACACAGAGGTTGATAACACATTAGGGAAACTGCAAAATAAAGGATAAACAAAGTACAAAACATCTCCACAAAGCCAAAGCTATACGAAAAAGCACACAAAGCAAAACAAAAAGAACCAAAGCACAATTAAATACCCCTACATTCTGAAGACCAAGTTAAATACTGAATAAGCCGAGATCAGATTGGTCAAGTTTCATTGATGTCAAAATGGCAAAGATGGATGAATTAATGAACCAATGGGGAGGGAGTATGGAACTTGTCAAAACGCAAACCACACAGGGTCAAAACACTACCTTTATAGGACCCATCCAACTGGGGCTCATGAGCTGGAAGCTAAGAGGTCACCCTTCACCAGGACTCTTCCTTCACACTGGACACCACCATATATATGTGCATATTCATATTTACACAACTAATAAAAAACACCCAGTGGCAAAATTTAAAACTCTTCATAAACCCAAAGCAGTATTTCAGTTCTGTGCTTTACACCATCAATGCCTAAATATATACTTTAAAACTCACCTAGATTCTCAAAAAACAGTTTATTAATTATGTGAAAGTAAACCAATACTTGGAACCATAAAACATCCACTACCTACACCAAATGTACGCAGAGTGTAACCTAAATCCCGAGTAGTAAAAAACTGAAACCAAAAACTCATTTAGGGTGTAAAATGTCATGGCACAGCAATGCAGGGAAAAGCAGATCCAGTGCCAGTGTGTATTCAATATAATAAACAGCACCTTGTACAGCCACAATCAACATGCAAGAAACAAGAACAGATTTGGTACATTTAGTAAGTT